CTGATGATTAGTGATGTTGAGCACCTTTTCAAGTACCTGTGTGCCATTTGTCTTCTTTAGTAAAATGTCTATTCAGGTCCTTTGCTCATTTTTTAATTTGATTATTTGGGGAGTATTTTGCTGTTGAGTTGTATGAGTTCCTTGTATATTTTGGATATTAACCCTTTATCAGATATATGATTTGCAAATATTTTCTCCCCTTCTATAAGTTGCCTTTTCATTTTCTTGATGGTTTCCTTTGCTGTGCAGAAGCTTTGTAGTTTGATGTAGTCCCACTTGTTTATCTTTGCTTTTGTTGCTTGTGGTTTTGGTGTCCTACCCAAAAAATCATTGCCAAGATGAATGTCAAGGAGCTTTTTCCCTATGTTTTATTCTAGGAGTCAAGAGCTCTTTCTTGTTTTCTTAATATTCTTATATAAGGAATCATTTTATGGATGTAAAACATTATCTCTCTGAGGATATTTGTTATAACGTTTTACTAAAGTTTTCTTCTGTTTCTTGTGTTGTCTCTATTCCTTTAAAGTTCTCCTCTCTGTTTTTCATGTCTACAGCTTCCCCCAAAGGTCTGGGGATCCTTGGGTCTGGGAATCTCTATCGTAACTTTCACATCCACACATATCACTGCCTGCTTGGATGTGTACAGGTCCCTCAAACTGTTCTTCCCCCTCATACAAACTCCTCCTACAGTCTTCTCTGTTTCAGGAAATGATGATCTCATTTGTCTAGCTGCTCAGGACCAAACCCTGGCTGTTGTCCTTGATTCTTCTCTTTTCCTCATTCCCTATACACATTTATCAGCACATTATGTTGGCTTTACCTTAAAAATACAGTCAGAATATGACTATTTCTTATCATCTCCACTGCTATTACCTTGGTACAAGCTGCTATCATCTCCTGCCTACATTATTTTGATATATTTCTAAGTAATCTTCCTGCTTGGTCCCCTACAGTCTATTCTCAACACAACAGCCAGTGTGACCCTGTTAAAACATAAGTCACATCATGGCACTTCTATATTCAAAAAGCTCCAGTGGCTCCCCTCTATCTAAGAGCAAATCAAAGATTTCACAATGACCTCTAAGGCCATCCACAAGTTGCTCTCCCCATCCCATTATCTTTTGACTACAACTCCTGCTTTTTTTTTTTTTTAATTTAGTTCACTCTGCTTGAGCTACAGCGGCCTCCTTACTATCCCTCAAACATACCAGGTTTTCCCTCACATTAAGCTCTTTGCACTTGTCTAGAATGTTCTTTCTTCAAATAGCCACATAACTTGCTCCTTTGTGACTTTCAGGTCTTTTCCCAGTTGTCGCCTTCTCAATGAGGCTTTCCCTGACCAGCCTTCCAATGAGTGACCTTCTCCTGTTGAAAGCTCCTCATGAAGAGTCTAGAGTTTAGCAAGTGCTTAGTCAATGTTTGCTGTACGTTTTCAAAGGTTGGTGGGAAGAGTTTAATGAAACTGATGGGAACTGGCAGGAATGAAGGAGGAGTGAGGGACTTTCAGGCAGGCTTGATGGCTAAATAAGAATGAAGGTCTGAAAGCTGAAGTTTAGAAATCATTTGTATTCTCGTAATATTTGAGAGCAAATGATTTAACCAAAGGAGAAGATATAGAGGAGATAGAGCCAACGCCCAGGACTGAGCCCCATTGAAATACTGGGGCAGGGAGTTCTAGAGAGAAATCAGGAAGAGTGATCAGAGCGGTTAAGAAAGACAAGAATAATGAAGTGTCAAGAGACAGGAAGAAGTGGAGGTAATCATAATATTTAACATTACTAAGCAGATACTCAGTGCTTTAGATTTATTTTCTTATTTTAGCTTCACTACTTCTAGTTACTGTGTTTTGACAAATAAGAAAACTGAGGCTTGGGTCTCACAATTAGAGATGGAGCCAGGAATCAACTCCTCCAGGTCTAGCTCCGAATTTAGTCCACTTTTCATAATCGAGCATGCCTCTAGCAAGCAGGAAGGGCATTTTCAAGCAGTTGCACACCTGTCTTAACTTGGTTAGAGAGTCTTGTAAAAAAATCTTACCAAGACTATCAAAACAACTTTTAAGCAGCACAAAAAAATAGGTAGTTTAATTTACCACTTCCAAAGAAGTAGAAATGGACACTCTCCCTTAAGGACAACATGCTATATTATCTTTAAAATGTGACTGCTATTTAAATACTATAGCATTTACCGAAGTGTGATTCAAATATTTATTGTATACTGTATTAATTTCGCAAACATTTGTTAAACTAGTACTGTGTTTCAGCCATTGTAATATGAACTAGAACTGTAGAAATGAAACAGACATAGCCCCTGCTCTCTAGGAGTGCCTAGAGATAAAGGCAGAAACATGTTACTGGTGCCATGAGATGCATACATAGAGGTGGTGGGGAATAGAGGAAGAAATTGTCATCTTTCCCTAAGGAGAAGGAAGGCCAAGAATGACTTCAGAGAGGAGATCTTTACTTGAATGTCAAAATGGTAGTAGTGCTCATCAGACAGATAAGGTTGTGGTAGGGTTTCCAAGCAGTAGGAAAAGCAAGAGTTTAGCACAGCTATATAAGTAGGTTGGAGCAAGAGGGGAGCTAAAATGTTGAATATGGATGGATCACTGGTTAGGGGTGTATAGTGGTGTTAGAGAAAAGTTGAAAATTATAGCAGGGCCTTGTGTACCACACTAAGGTCTTTATCCTGAGGGGAATGGGAGACCAGCATTGGGTTTTAAGATTCTATTTGCATTTGAACACACAGAGCTTTGTGGATGTTGTGGTTAAAGGGACCAAGATGGAAGGCAAGGGGAGATTTGGAGACTTGCCATCTAGACTTGTGCTACTCAAAGCGTAGTGCCCATTGGCTAACTGTTTCTTACCAGTTCTTGATAAGGTAAGAAGCTTCTGCTGAAATGTAAGCCAGCTACTTCACTAAGCACTCTGTTTAGTTTGGCCAACTTTGCTCTCATGGGGAGACTTTCTCCACAAAGGAAACTGTGCTTTGATGTACAATCTGAGACTAGCTCTTCACCTTGTAAAGGACCCGCACTTTGAGTGGTTCTGGTCTACACCACTGATCTTCAAATTCTTTCAATTTTATGTATTTATAAGTAAAAAGTGTTTGAGTATACATTTCTAACATATGTATATTTATGAGCTCTATACACATATTACTGCAATACTACATTATATACATTATAAAACACACTAAGCATATATTTTAAAAGGATAAGATGAAAATAAATAAATAATATCTAAAAAATACTTCACTAAAGTGAAAACAGTGTTATTAAATATACTTCACTAATTTTGAAAATTGTTATTTAACCCTTTCTGATATAGCTGTCCAGATGTCTGCTTCTGGTTCAGTTTATTTTGGTTTTGGTTTCAACGGCTGTCAATTGAAAAAGTTACCTCACAAAGATAGATGGTTCCAAGTGGAATAGGGCAGGCTTGGCTCTACTTATTAAATTAAGATTATCATCTTTCAATCCAATTCAGTAATTAAATGCATGTTTGTATTGAAATTCCTATTCTCGGATGTCAATCAGTTGTTTTTGCAATCTGATCTGAAGGTGCTTCATTTTCATATTTTGTACATAATGATTTTAAACCCTTTGCCACTCTTAATTTGAAAGATTTTAAAACAGGTTAAAATTCAATTTCTCATTTTAACAAGACAGGATTTTTATAAGTGACATCCATCCAACATTTTCACCAGGAAAATCACATAACATGGAAATGTTTCCAGATACCTGTTTCTAAAGACTCTTTCCACAGCACAGATTTCTTTAGAAAAGCAACAACTTTCCTTATTTGTTAGTGATATATCACCTTTATCTTGAAGGAACAGTTAAAGATATCTTTAAAAAATATCTTCCAGGTTAAAAAAAAATCATATAAAAGGTCAATACTTTAAAAAAATTTGTCTTTTTGTAAAAAGAAAAATGCATAATACCTTTAAATATTTTTTCTAGTTAACAATGAACCCTGTTATGGTACAGTAGATTTTCAGCTTAACTATGTCCTCTTATACGGAGCCTATGTGTTAAGAAAATAAGGCCATAAACCCACCTCATCGAGTGCATTCAGTCTAAAAGTGAAGTAAAATTGTTAAAAGTGAAGGAGTGAGGATCTTAAGTCCTTGAGACTGGATCACCCACCGTTCCCTTGGGATGCATCCATTGCCTGATACCTGAGGGACAGTGGTCATCTGTATATAAAATATTAGTAAAACTTAATTTATTCTACTTTTTAAAAACATAAGTATAAATAGACCTCTAATTTCTTTTTGCCTTTCCTAATTGTCTTGCGCTTCTCCTGGGGTGTTGTGTTCCACTTTGGCAAGGACTTGAACAGATGCTCAAAGATGAGATTCTAAACTAGGCCAAACCAAGGGGATGGAGAAGACAGTGCTGATAACAAGCCTTGAGGGAGACAGCACTGACAGAACTTGATCACTGACTGCACGTGGAGGTGTAAATCAGAGGAAATGCACAAATAGGTACTTTTTTCCATGCTGTTTTTGAAAATGTTTACATCCCATCTTCCCCAATGATGATAAGTTCTTCCAGGTATGAATCGAATTACCATTTACAGTCTTCCTTCTTTGTGCAAGGCAATACATATTCATATACCATTTTCTCTGCAAAGACTAGGGTTCTTTCCACTTATTTGTAGACCTTGTGTCTCAGAATTTTGCCAACAGCAGCTGCTCAAAAATTTCTGTCTTTTTTCCAAAAGAGGGCTTCCAAGAACGTCCACACCAAGATGACTGCCTGCTCAAGCATCAGGATGGTGCAGTGGAGCATGGGGCCTTCTGAGTCTCAACGAACAAGGACTGTTTTCTAAGCAGTAGCCTATACAACTTGGCAGAAAAGTACTAGCAGAAGCCTTTATCCAGACAACAACATTCCTTACCCATGAGCGTCAGCTGCTCCTCTTAGTGCCCCCCTTCCAAAAAAAATAAATTAAATTTAAAAAGGACTGAAATATTCTTTTGTATGTCTTACTCACAGCAAAGTTGGTCCACTGTATACTCCTCCAAATGCATCTTTGTCAATAACTGTCAGGTATTTATTCTTGTTCAGGTAACTAGAGAGAGAGAGAAAGAAGATTAGGTGAGATTAAGGAAATTAATACAAATACCAAAATAAAATGTGAGCATGGTCTCCCTAGCTATTAACTGCTTTTTAAGAATTTGGAAAACACCTTACCTTCTTATGGCTGAAGCACTCAAAACATTCTAGGTTTCAATTGTGCAAGGTTTATATACATTAATTACAGCAGAAGTCTTTGAAAGTGAGCCTGTTTATGATCTAGTTTGCATACCTAGATTTTATAAAAGTTGCCTAATTCCCTATCTACCTGGCAAGGCAACTGTATTTTTCAATCCTCTTCAATACCAACTTTGTTTCTCAATATTGGGCAATAGTCAATAGTCCCATTTATTTTTGAAGACTAGGCTTAAATTAGGAATGGAATGAAGTTGGTGAGTGGTGATAGGGACTGTCAGAGATTCACAACTTCTCTTCGAGGCAGGGTTGCCAGATTTAGCAAATAAAATACAGGATGCCCAGGTAAACAATGAATAATTTTTTAGTGTAAGTATTCTGCATACAATTTTTGAAACATTCTTATACTAAAAAGTTATTGGTTGTTTATCTGAAATTCAAATTTAATTGGGCGGCTTGTATTTTCTCTGATAATCCTATTTTAGGGGGACAGGTTACGCAGATAAGATTAGAGTATACCCTTCATGAAGGGGTTTGATGGGCACGTTGATCTTTCCATTTTGAAAACACATTGGGCATTTGAGGGTAAAATATTTTTGAAGCAATTTAAGTCACAAAGTGATTCTGAAACATAAAATTATCTCCAAGTGGATAAAAGCTTCCAAGGATTTTGAAACTGGCTTTTTTCCCCCTAGCTTTTTTAGAGAACAAAAATTACCTAAAAAGAAACAAAGCACATATATATCCTTGTTATAAATGATCTCAGTTTGCACATGTTTAGATTAACTCACCACATAGCCTAGTCAATTTAAGAGTTCGTAAATGGTCATCTGTTGATAAAAAGTGAATACAGCAGAGAGTTTGAGAGGTCTACTTAGATATGGATGTTTCCATCATTCTATTCATGGCATTTGCTCCTCATAATGGCAAATTCTGAAGGATAATGGTTGATAATAATAGTGTGACGTGAGGACTTGCAGTCAAGATTCTTTCTCTAGAGTCCACAAGAAACGTCTCCTTGGTTAATTGGCTATTCCTCTCTTTCTCTGAATCTGAGACAGGGAGAGGGAGGGTGGCTTCATTTGGGCTAACCTGAGGGGAAGCATCCTCTGTTGCTGTTCAGAAGGCAAAGGCAGGAACAGTGCTTCCACATGGATCCTGCCCTCGGCCTCTCCTGGTCCAGCAGCTCTGCTCCTCTCCAGTCTTTTGTAGAGAATAGAACTTACCTAGAATAAGAGAGGGCGGCCTTGGAGCCAGAGATGGGTCTTCCTCGGAGCAGTTGGAGGAAGAAGTTTTACCAACCACCAATGAAGTCTCCCCCTCCTGGACAGGATGAGGGATTAACCAAATGACAAATAAGTACTACAACTCCACACAATGAGGTCTCATAAATTGGTATAAATTTTGTAATTTTTTCCCTTTTTTTCTTAAATTGAGGTTGAGAACTACCTATGAATGAATAAAAGAATCAATGCACCTCTCCTCAAAAATAGTGAGGTGGGTGATGCTAAACTTTTAAGGTGACACGTGATTGCTTTAAGGAAAAAATAGGAGAATGAAAGAATAGAAGACTCAGCATATGGTGTGGTGGCCAATTGACTTTCTTGATGGCAGTGACAAGGCAACTTGTTAAAAAATGCCATGAGGGGTTGGCTCAGACATGGCCTCCTCAGGCAGTGGCTGGACACCAAGCTTCCAGGGCACTGTTAAATCTGAAATGGAGGGGGTCAGTTAATCTCATATATATGCAAAGACCCAACTAAGGTGCTATTGCAGCCAATCTGTGCCGTCTGGATGAATGGCTATCATGTAAGGCTCTCAACCACAGACTTCATTTGATCATTGTATGACTCTCCTTGAACCCACTGTGTCCTGGGAATTCCTTTGGTCAGTGGTAGCTAGAACAGGCAAGAGCCACTTTGAAGAAACAACAACTGGAGAGATCTTGACCAGCATGATTTTGTAAAAAGACAACTAAGCTTAGCGTAAATGCTGCATTGGCTTGCGTTTCTTTTTGTATTCTTTGGACCATGCAACTTGCAGATCACATTCTGTTCCCAGTCTGCTGAAAATCAAGTAAGGACTGGTGAGCTCATCTCAGTTTTTCCTCATCTCTGACTGCTGCAAGTGAAAATCGGCTTGCTCTAATCATTAGAAATTATTATAAAACTAAATAATTGCTTGTCCAATTCTACAGTGTTTTCATCTGATATTCAATACGCCCCCAAGGATAAGGAGGCTGGTTGATAAGCATTGCAGTTTACCAGAAAAGCTGCAGAAGATTTGAAACTGGGAAAGCCAGCCAGAGTCCAGGAGGGGAGAAGGAGGATGGAGAGAGGGCGCAGCCAACTTGAACGGAGATGAACTGAGTCTTGGGGGAGGCCGTGCTCTCTAAAACCAACAAGGTTGTTTGGGTACTTTATCACTTAGAGATAATTAGGTGCTTAAAAATGAAACCGTCACTCTGCCTTTAGCAGTTTGGAGGACTGCCTTATTGTCAAAGTTTGTCATAATGCAGGAAGATTTTATCCTTGCGTTCAGATTAAGGATCCTACCTTCCCTCTGAAGGTAGTGGGATGGGATGGAGAAACACATCCACAGAAGCCTTAATATCCAGGAAGAAAGTGCTTCCATCAGCCCCATTTATCAAATGTTTACTGGGAATGTCAGTCTAGTTAAACTGATTCCTTGACTGTGACTTATCCTGGTTCCTCTGGAATCCACATTCTCTAAACTAGCTTGGGTAAATCAGTCACAAATCTTGGTAGGCTATATGGGTAACTTACTCCAGACAACTCTTATTTTATAGGGGGTGTGTGATCATTTAAAATATCTCTTGAAAGGATGCTGTGAACTTAAAAGAGAGTAGAAAGTCTTAGAGTTAGAGGTGAAAAGAAAGACTTCTGAAAGTCAGGATTTCTAAAGTACAAATCCTGGGAAGGACGTATGAGAAAAGAACTGGTATCACCTTAAAAAATAATACAGCCACTGCTACATGTTTATGTTCAACACCTTTTCACTGGAGGACTTATGCTCCTTTGAGAACTTAGTGGAAGAAATGAAGTTCGTCCTAGAAAAGATCTGTCAGCTCTTTCAGAGCGGGGAGGGGAATTAAGAAGTCCTGCCCTCATTTTAGTGCCGTGTACCTCACAGTTAAGGAAGAACAATGTGGTCAGAAAAATGAAGATGGTCAGGAAAGAGTTGGGGAAGAAGATCCAATTGATGAACTCATTATTCTAGATAGAATATTATGGCTCACATCCTTCCCCATTGGACTCATTTTTGGCACATAGCAGCCGTTCAGTAAAAACATGCTGGATGAATAAATGAAAGTTCAGTTGCTAGGTAACTCATAGCTGGAGGCACCTTCTATATTATGTTTAGATGAGGAAGTGACCTATGTCAGAGGGAGGAGGATGTCACTGTGGCAAAGAAAGTTGTGGGTGCTGCTGAGCTTTGCTCTCTGGGGGAGTTTTAAGGTACATTTCAGCTCCAAGATGGAGCTGGTTTTGCATCATCCCTGTAGGGGAAACTTGGGCTGTCACCTATTTATGTTGTGAGACTCTCATGGGAACACTTCTGTGGGGAACCGTGTTTCCCTCTCATAGCTTTGGCTATTTGAAAGATTAAGAGGAAGCCTTGCCCAACCCTCATTGCTCCATGGAAATCCTTTTGGTAGCAGAAATCAGGACACCTGTCTGTAAACAGTCACAGGTGAGAAAATGCTCAAGTTTTCCAGAGGCAGCAGTAAAAGCCAGCCTTGGAGCATATCCTACAAGCTGTTCAAATACTTACTCCGTGAGAAATAATAGCCTGCTTACTCCTATAATCTTCTCTATCGTCATCTTCCCAGTGCTCCAAGCTGCGGTGTTTTGCTTCTAATCGGCTAATGTGTGATGCTAATTAGCAGATGAATTGTGTTGATTTCTCTGTTCCTAGTGATTAGTGTTTCGGTACGTTCTCAGCACATTAAAATCGTATTTTTTCTCCCTGCCCAAATATTTACTGTCAGATAGTAGCTAGTTACTAGAGCTTGACAGTAGCAAATACAATACAGAGAATTAGACATTCTAAATAAGCAATATATCCCCACACCAGATTGTGTGGAAAGAGAGGATGGAACAGAGGTTCCAGAGAATGAATCTGTGACTTTACTTGCAACTGAGAGCAGTTCAACTTCTGTTGAGCAAGGGATGCTTGTATTATTATTAATTTCACATCTGAGTGATGACAGTGTGCTTGGTTCCATGTGAAATCACAGGACCATGTGCTTCACACATCTGCCATAATTTTCATGAACTTTTAACTAATTACCCAACTGCTGCTGAGGCATCAGTGCTTGTTCTCAATGTGGAACTTGTCCAACTTGACTGCAATCATACACTAAAGAAGTAGGTCTAAATGAGGTCAAATCTGCTAACTTTAGTAAATTGGCACGAGGTGGATGATGAGGAATAATTGCTCTTTTAGATGACACATTATCTAAATTATAACCTAAAGATATTTGAACATACTTCTGGGGAATTGACCAAATTGCTAACATGCTATACGCAATCTTTGAGCACTATTAGGATCATTATAAGATACTGACGTGTTACATTAGTTTAAAATCACAATTAGCATTGAGACCAGAGGCAACAGTCCTATGTTAAAATCTCAAAGTGTGAATACTATTTTATTATTACCATGGAAACTTGACCTTTGTTTTCTCTATCTACAGCTCAACCTTTATCTTCCTCTAGTCCCACCGCTCCTTATCATGACCATCATCTTGCTTTTACCTTAGATTTATCTATCTTTTACTGAAGTGCTTAAATCTAAGAAAAAATAATTTTCCATCAACTATTAGGATAGAATGAT